CTTTAACTAATTCAGTTTCTGAGTCCAATTCTAATAAAACATTATATATCCTCTTAATATGACCTTTAACACCATCTCTTACTTGCTTCAAAAAAATCCCATCTTCAGAAGCAAAAGAAGTCTTTTTGTCGATTCGCCATCTATCTTGAATTTGTCCATACAAAAGCCAAGAAAAATTTGGATTATTTTGCTTTAACTCCTCCATTGATTTTAGACACCAGTTACCACCACCACTCTGGTATAACAAATCTTTGTAAGTAGGTCCCTCTATCACCACTCCTCTAGTTATAGCTTGAAAGATATGCGACGGAATCACCCAGAGTGGTAGCCTAACATTAAATTTGAAAAAATATTTTTGCCAGACTCTTAACAGTGCAGACCTTATTATATGGTTTCTAAAGGTTTTATCAGTTTTTTTCTGCATAAAAAGATAGGCATGCCACCCAAAGTACAAGTCCCAACCTTCGACATTCAAAATCCTTTTGTTAGACAAGTTGATCCAATCAGTCATCCAAGTTAATGCACAAGAATCATAATAAAGCGTCAAATTTGGTACTTTAAGTCCTCCACGTTCTCTAGTGTCCTGAATAATCTTAAATTTAACTCTCGCCTTCTTGCCTTCCCAAATAAAACAATTCAAATCTCTCTGCCATTCCTTCAAGTTAGTTTCATTCTTTAAAATAGGTATCATCTGAAATAAAAAGAGAAACTTAGGCAAAATAGTCATTTTAATAGCCGCTATACGACCCAGCAAAGAAAGCTGTAATTTTTTCCACGATGATAAATCCTTTTGTACCAATTTCCACAATCTTTCGTAATTGTTCTGGTAAAGTTTCGCATTGGATGATGACAAAAAAATTCCCAAATATTTAACTTTGTTAACCACTTCAAATCCTGACATCTGCATAAGTTGATCTTTGTCCCTAGCAGTCATATTCTTTGTAAGAATTTTAGTCTTATTCACATTAATTTTAAATCCAGCCACTTTACCATATTGATGTAGTTCTTGTAGCA